TTTCACTAACTGAAACATCATCTTTCATTCCCAAGATCTCATTAGTAATTCTCCTTACTGTCTGCCATACAATTCCTATGACACCACTTGCCTGTTTGTATTGTAAAGAAAAATATAATTTTTTGTCCCTGGTAGTAGTTAAAGGGTTAATTAATTAAAAAAGTGGATTCTATGAAACTGTGAAAAGAAACTAGAAATTGTCCAAATTCCATTATGTCCAGATAAGTCAACAAAAGAATCACATGCTTTCAGTGTTAGTTCTTAAACGTCTTTTGAATTATTGAATTATTTGAAGTATTGTAATATATACACTATTTCACAGTTCTGTGGTACAGACAGATGAAGGATGGAATCAGAAAAAACAAACTTGGGATGCAAGATTTTGTTAAAAAAAAGCCAGCACTTTATAAGAGTTGAAAGAATTTAACAGCATTCTTGGTTGATTTATTTCCTAGTAGAAGAGTACATAAAAGAAAAACTGAATTTTCTGTTCACCTTTCATAGTTTCTAGTGGTTCTTCTCCTTCTTTATTGTGACCAGTGGTGGACATTTCAAAAATGGGTGAACTACCTAAGAGTTAATTAGTGCACAGAGCAGTTATAATTATAAATAGCTTTCTTCAAATCACTTATTAAAGAAAAGATAGCCATGGGCATTCTAACATGTGTCATGGTCATGAAAAGATATTAATAATAATACTTTCTCAGAGTTGGTAATCTTCAAGACATCATTCGGTTCCTCAATTACCTTATATCATAAAATTAATTATTTCAAAACAGATCCTAATGTCACAAACAAGTGTTTCTGCAAAAACTAACGGTAAATTTTTGGTTTTATTAAATTTCTCAAAAGCAAGCTTTAGATTCAGTTGTGTTTACTTTTCACTTTCTCTGACTCCACATTAACCTCTTTGTTCTGTTTCCATCTTTGTATCTGTGCTTCATCTTCAGTACCTGTGGAGTATGACTGAGCTGACAAAGCACCTAGAATAAAATTTAAAAGAAAACCAATTATGTGAGTTTACCATTCAGACACTAAAAACTGCATTTCCAATAATATTCTATGACAGTTACACAGATCTGATTATTGTGCGGCAGATAACCCACATTTAATTAATTTTCTCAACCAAAACTACTGCTTCCTGATATCATTTCCCCATTGATTCTTTTCAAATAAATTTTATAAAGAATTTAAACTAAAATTTAACACAGCCAAATGGAAAAAAAGCACTACTTCAAGCAATAATTAACTGAATTTAGTTTTTTCTTTTAACACAAACAGACAGACCAACAAGTGAAGAAATGAAGAAAGTTCAACTGACTCTAAACAAAAATTTAGATACAAACTGACATCTTGCAAACAAATCACTTATAGCAGGACTTAGACAGTCAGCACATAAACATTTTCAATTAGACAACATGTTCTTTCTTGATAGAAGACTAAAACCAATTCTTCATATCGTAACAGTTTTAAAACCCACTCCATGATGAAAGAGAGATACTTGCAAATATTTTTGAGATTTTGAGATGATCTGGTCTTGAATTGTAAGGTACTAACCTCTGAGTGCAACTCTCTCAAAGTACAGTTTGCATGCATTGTACTCTTCTACGTCCATTGTTGTTTTCAGCTTCAGCTCTGCCAGGTTCAGTTCCTTCAAGATCGTTTCCGTGATGAAGCAATTTTGAACCACTTCACCCAAGTGACCAGATAAATATTCTCTCCACAATTCCTCCAAGATCTGGAGAGATTTACACTTCACTGTTATCACCAGACTTCCTTCTCTAGCACACTTTATGAGAACTCTCAGGTCTTGCATGAAGTCCATGAACTCGTCACGCTCTTCCTTGCTCTGTGGTGGTGTAGTCTCAAGATAGTTCTTCCCAGCTAATAAAAAGAATTTCTCTCTAAGTGCTTGGAGAGATTCTGGAGGAGACACACTTCCCTGCATTTCTGGTGCAGCAGATGACTTTTGGAGCTCATCCATTTGGTATTTTTCAGACTCCATGATGGAAGTTGTTGTCTGATTATTGGATTCAGCAGGTTTTTGGTCTTTCACATCAATAGTAATATCCAACTCATCAACTGCTGATTTGTAATAAGAAGTAATAATTAATCATAATCCTTATAATTTAACATGATGTGCATCTTGAATCTCTAAATGTAATTGTGAAACTCATGAAATATTTTC